TGATAATCCTCAGGCCTTCAAGTTTCATCGGATCTTTCGGTAGGACTAGGACATCTTTGCATCTCAGAAATGAATCTGTATGGATTTTACGAGGGCATTGGAAGTTCATTGTTCTGATCTAACCATCCCCACTTTGTTAGCTATTATACTTGAAATTCTCACTTCATACTTCCCCATATCACAATCTTTATCACTCCTCACTGTCTTCTTACCATTCATGCCGATCGATTTCATACCTCAAGAGCATATATTAAAATCTGTGTTGCATACCTATTACAGTTCCATTTAATTATCTCACTCACATTTTTATGTTACAATTCTACATTTCATTGACCTTACATAATTTCTGCTATTATAAAAACAAAAATGAGAAAGCAATCGACTTTATATAAGAACTTTCATGCTTATTTCTTAATTTGTTGCTTATTACACGGAAAAGTTGAAACGCTTTATGGAATAGATTTGAATATATTATATCATTTGTTGAGAATTATATGCTCTATTTTGTTTAATACTATTATATAGAAAATTTTGTTGTATGAGGAACATTTCAGCATTAGATTTTATTTCACGCTGAAATAGTATTAAGAAGGTTTCGAAAACAGGCGTCTTTCTGCCGGAAGATTTTTTAGGTGTAGGTGCGCAACCATTATTTAGATGCGTACCTTAATGTTTTTAGAATGAAATAGCGCACTGATCAATGGACAGGTTTATTTTGCGAGTGAAGGTGCCTTATTTATATTTCAGCATTACAAGGAGTTCATGGTGTCAAATAGGTAGTTATATCAACTTTACAAAAAAGATTCTTTCTGAAGTGGGAGAGTCGACAAAGTATTGACTGGTATTTAATGCTGAAAAACAGGTATCGGTCTACATGTTGTTTTTGTCTTCTATTATATCGTTTTTCCCTACCTGTCTCTCTACCTATTTGACCCTTAGTTAATATAGTTGCCTCTTCTCCATAAGCTGTATTTCTTTCTGCGTCTCATGCTTTTTACATATGAAGATGTACTCCATTTGTGTTCTGTATAACCCAGCTTTTCGTGCAAGTAGTAGTTTCTAGATGAAAACTGTCTCCCATTTTCCATTTCGTTCACGTTCTCTCGGGAGTTGGTTAATGTAGGAGAAGAGGGAAAAATGACTTTTTCTTCCAATATGACATTGGAAGTTGGTGGAGCAGCACATCGTTTTCTTTATTCCATAGAACGACGTTTCTAGTCTTCAGTATTTGCCTTCACCACTTTCTCCAGTCACTTTGTAGGTGGTACAGTTGACAACACTCGTGAAACCCCTTCTCTTTTATATTCTATATATCCTAGTTCTATCAAAGAGGCTTTTTACTGAGACATTAATAATGTTAGAAGTCTTGGCTCTCTGGGATACATCCCTGTAGTTATTCCGCTTTCAATAGCGGAAATCATTTATATTCATGCCCACGATATAGGTTAGTCCCACCTCATCCTCACATCCGTGATTGTTGAATTGGATTTTTTTAGCTAATGTCCACTTTCTGATGTACTTTCTACCATTCAGGTGTGAAATTTCCGCTGCTTGTTTATCCATCAAGTTTCGTGATTGCAGGTACATATCAAAAGGTGTTCTTTTCTTCGTCGTGATACTCCAGTCGATTTACTGGCTGCTAGATATGACAGATATGTACTTTGTATAGTACAATATAGTTTTCAAGTGATTGATGCACTTTACATATGATGATGCAGAAAATAACACCTACCGCATTGAATTATTCATCATTTTTCTCCGTTTATTTTTGTGGTGTTCAGGATGATAATGATTGTGACGATAATCATTTTGCTTTCTTATCGCTGGCGCCAGCCACACTTAAAGTTTTTCCTCGAAGCAAGATGTCAATGCTCCTTTAAAAGCACTTCAAATTAATTTTGTAACGCTTCAAATTCTGTTCTGAGAGAATTTCAGGCTCCCGGTATAAACAGTACATGCACTTATTAAAGTAAAATATGATGGTAAACTGAAGGGAAAAGTAAGTTGGAAACAGATGTTCGTCGTATATAATTGGCACACAAGAAATAAGATGTGCATCCTTATTAGCAATTGCTCCCTTTCACTCATAATTCGTTAACAAGTTGATTAATTTCGTTGGTATTTCAGACATATTTAATTAGTTGTAGAGCGCATCACCACTACTTAATTTTGGGAGAAAACATCTCATTTTCTTATGCAGATATTTAAGTTTTTTTCGATTTGTTTCTTAATATGAAAATTTTCATTTGGGCTGCAATAGTTTTGTTTTGAAAGTTGCATGTAAGCATTTCAAGAATTAGCTTTAATTATTTCGAAAGAATAATGTAGCTGGATGCAGAACTGAAAACAGGATGGAAGGAAAAACAGCTTTCTGGATTATTAAATCCCATTGAAATCTATTTCTTTCTACTTTTTTTAAATAGATAATTTCAAAAATCAATTCATTTTCGAATTCAGGATGTCGTTGTCCCATTGCATGAGACGTTTTCGGTTTGTGTCTCATCTGTTAAGCTTTCATCAGTTAATAAATTTTCTCAATATCAAAATTAGTAGTTTCATAAATTTTCATTAGATGAAAATAGGCATTCAAGTGAAGAAGTGCTCACTTGCGCTCCCTTTTTTCGCAAATATTTGGCTTTTACTGTGCTTAGTAATTCTACTTTTTGCTTTCCTCTGTCTTCTTCATAATTCTCCCGCATCATATTCGAGTATTTGCTAACATATTTTTCGCTCTCTACCATCTGTTCTCTTTATATATGGTAAATGTTAATTGAACTAGAAAGAGGAAGAAAATAGTGTAAGAAATCAAATGCTTTCTGAATATAAGACTTAGATCTCAAACTCGAGCTATTAAACCTAAGTTCTCTCGTCACCTCAACTTCCCTTAGATCGTTCTGCGTCTCAAAGTTAACATTCATAAGTAGCAGTTTTTTTTTTTCGGAAAATGGAAGTGTTCATATAAAAACAACTTTGAGAAAAATGTTGCGTCGTCACATGCTCGATATTTACAGTTATGGTTAAAATCGGGAGAAAAAATCAACATTCATTTTGATATGTTAAAAATAGACATATCAAGAAAGTCTTGTTATAACAGGAATCATCAATATACTGCGATATTTTTTAATTTGAAAAGAGTCTTTTAACTATTTCCAGTATTTTCCCAAATGCTTGTTTCGAGAATGCAACACTTTGCAATAGTTTAGTGTGAAAGACAATGCAGTATAGTAGGTAAATTTGGTACTCACAAATACTGATGTAAACTATCGAAAAGTGTTGCATTCCAACCTAAATAATCAGTTTGTAAACAATCGTTTAAGAAGAATGAAGGCATGTATCTGAAGTACGCTACGTATATTCCAGGTTAAGACCCGTCATAATCAATCCGGAGAGACTAAACTGCGTACAAAAAGGATAGAAGAATAATATTTGGAAGTGACAACAAATCCCGCGAGGAAGAGATCTGAGACAGAGCGTACGTATAATAGAAGATAGTCTGTGAGACTATGAGAGAAGGTGCTCTATGCAAACATGAAGCGCGCGCTGCGTGCATCAATGCCTTCAAGAAGGAAAGAGAAAGGATTGAGCGGTTGATTCGTATATCTCTGCTTTCGTTTCGGACGACATATTTGTTATCTGTCCTGTTCTTGTTTCTCTTGTTCCTTTTTTCTCTTATTTGTATGTGAGGTACTGTTTGAAGTCAAGAATTGGATAATCTTGACAGCTGATTAAGCCACGCTAAATAAACAAGAGCCTGGAATTGACTTAGTTTAGTTTGTTTAATGAGGACATAGTCTAATTTGCCTAGTGAAATGGGATTGGCACACTGACCGAACTTCAGTAAAACCAGCAATATCGGTGATGGAACCTACAAAGCATAACGAAAGGGAGGTAACTGGGTGTTAAACATAATATAGAACCAACTGTGTTGGATATAGTTTTATTTAAAATTAGTTGGCTTTCAGAAAAATGTAAAAGAAAAAGGACAAAGGAAAAAAAGAGACAGATCGGCTGATTCATCATCACAAAGGGTTTCGCCTTTGTGATGAGAAATCAGTACCTGCATAAACGGAAAACGAAATAGAATGATTGGGTAAATGCACTAAGGATAAAGTAGTGGAACAGAGAAGATATTATGCAAGTTGACTTTGTAGTCCTTCCTCATTTCTCATTCTCTTTTTTTTCTTCGATCATTGTGGAGAACTGGCAATCAAGTTTTATGCTAGCAAACATTAACGTATATAAATAATTAGCGTACACTTTAGAGTTATCCATCATTCCTGTGAAGTTGGGTTAAGACTATAATGCCTAGCAGCATCATTGCCACTGACTCCTTGAAGATAATTCAGACGTTAGCAAGTGGACGAGAAATTCCTAGACTTGATTGGTTTTTTTTTACGGTTAAGGATACATTAATTGATCGCTTGTTGGTGGTAATGCTTTAATTCTTACGTTGGCGAGATTTTCATGCATTAAAATGTAGGCTACCGCCTATTGGCTTTTTACGTTGCAGGGATAATAAATATGCTCTCAGAAGGATTTAATGTGAGCTACGATCAGTTTCGTTGTTTTCATTAAATGAGCATTAGTTTAAGAAATTTCTCTATTCTTCATTTTGAAATATAGATTGGAAGGAGTTTAACGTGTTCCCATGTCATTAATTTCATTTTTGAATAAGTTTGGGAACTCATTTACTATTTGCATTATATTTGTGCATGTGCATATTGTACGTACATTATGTATGTAAAATGTGTGAGCGTAATGTGAGTGTAAGCATCGCTGTTAGAAGTTCTGGATGCTGAAATGCATTTGTCAAAGCTATCGTTATCCTTAACTTTTTATCAACTAGTTTTCATTGCTTTAAACAGTGTTTCGTGTTTTATCCAGTGCGATAAAATATTTTAATAGTTTCCTTTTTAATTTGTGTTATCTAATAGCGATGTTTATTGCGTTGGAACTTAATTATTTGGTTATGGCTTCTTCAATTTTTCTTTTTTAGAAAGATGGCTGATGGTAGTTTGATGATTTCTCTAATGTTGGTCGTTCAATTCTCATTCTTTACAAACATCGAGGTCTGTTTATTTATTCTTATTTTTTATTTGTACTTTTTTATTGTTATGTTTTATTTTCTATTTATTTATTATACATTGGAATTAATTTGTAAATGATGAAATGACTGAAATGTACTACTAAGAAAGGCATATCGGAGGACATCTTATGATTCATCCTTTTTTGAAGTATGAAAAATTTTTTATGATCAAGAAATACAGCTTTTAATTAGTTTAGGCGTGTAGGTGTTTATGCCTAAGGACAAGTTGATAAAAGAATTAAATATTTAGTAATCTCGGTTTTCGTGAACAATACTTGCATTTTTTTGTTTTTGGTTACCTACTGTATGAAAAAGTGGTTAAAAGTTTTCTTTGTAAGGAACTGATTTTTGATTCTTTGATTGCTTTGCATTTTTCAACATTGCAATTTCTAGAGTTGAGCAGTGTGCGCAGTCGGGATTGTGGCGGCATAGATAGAACGGTGGAGTTTAAGACAGGCAGACTTACTGAGACTGTTAGAGATAGGAAAACTTGGCTATATTTATTAAGCAACTTGTAAAGTATGTGGTACATCTGTCCAATGCGTCTAGAAATTGCTGTTTTGGGAGTTGCAAAAATCCTGTTACTTTGATTTAACTTTGTTAATGACAGATGTACAATCCAAAGAAATGAATATCGAATAGTGACAGTGACTGATTGGTAATTAACGCTTGCTTTTTTTTTTTTTTTTCATACTATTTCAGATTATCTTGTATTTATACTTGCAACACTTCCTAGAAAATTGTATTATTGCTGTTTAATTAAACATAATATAAAAACAGTATTGTTGCTTCTTAATTAAACATAAGTAGTACCCTGTGCAATCTCATAAATTTGTAAGCATGTTTTCTGTGGTTCAAAATTTCATCGAGAAAAAAAGTTGCCGTGGATTTATTAGGTATTATTGTAATTATATTGTGAGTGTTTCCTGCAACAGTATTCTGATAGCCATTTGGAATTCATGCAGAAGCTTTGCTTGGTTCATACGGCTGGAACGGCAATTAAAAGTTATGGTGTTAACTCTAAACTGGAAACTGTTTCCTCTGTTGCTTACCAAAAGAAAGGGAATGAATTACCAGTTTTCAGTGTGAGCTAAAAGTAACGGAACTTGTAGTTTGTATCCAATAACTTTATTTTAACGAGTATAACAATTTTGACAATCTCACAACTGATTAGAATTTCCGTAATCTTTAACATTATTGTAAATGTTCGAAAAAATCCGGTGTTTGACTTTACAAATTTATTGAATCGTAAGAATGTTATTTAAAAAGTTTGTTTTTGAAATACTCAGTTTTAAATAGAATGTTTTGTCGGAATTTCAAAGTTTTATGATAGTTTAGAGTGTTACTGCTAATGTGGACTCACGGAAAGGAAAGAAGCACGAGAAGTTTGTTCCGTTGGTTGCGTTTCAATGTGGTTTCCGAAACAGATTCATGAGCGAAGATGGAGCATGGTTGAGCGATCCAAGTACTCTTGCAACATGCTTTAGTGGAAAACTCGATATCTTAAAATATTGCCGAAAAGTAGGTGCTCTCATTCCTCTAAAATAGATTTTCTCTCCAAACTACTTCATAGTTTTTTTTTTTTTTCTTTTTACTAGAACATGTTCCGCAGTGTAAATCTCTTTCATTTTGAGGTTTTGATCAATTTTTATTGCACAGATAATTCAAGTTGCAAAGTATATTCACTATTTACCTATTGGTTTTCCCAACAGATTAAATAAATTGTTACATTGGCAGCTAAATCACGATCAGTTAAAATATTTTCTTTAGTCATTCCTCGGCTGCTTTTTACAATGTGATTGGTTTTTACTTTCTTAGCAGTTATAATACTGTTTGCGACCGGCTGATTTCGTCGTAAATGTGAACAATTCTCTGGAAAAAAACTTCAATTTTTTATATTACTCCATTTATTTGTTCTCAACATTTTTTATGGAAAACTGACCTTAATCTTTATTCATTTGCTGGATTCTTTGAAATATTCAGTAGTCTTCACAAAAAGTAAGGCAAAGTGAGGAATAATGCATTACGAGTTTCATATTCGTCGCTCAGTAAAATAGTGTTATGTGCAATTGGTAGAAAATTAAATTTATTTGCTGAGTGTGCGTGGCAATTGCATATAGTTTTAATGTAGATTTGTTTCTTATAATTATTGGAAGTAAGGCATTTTTATTTACATCTTAGTGATGAAGTCCATGAAATTTAGTAACTTATATTGGAATTTTAATTTTAAAGACTTCAAGACCAGTCTAAGTTATAGATGCATGGAAATATAGCCATAACTAGTTGCTGCAGTTCGATATCCAGTAAATGAAAGAGAAACACTAAGAAAAGCTCCTAAGTCTCGGGTGATTTTGCGCTGTTGCAATAATAAGAATATTTGATGTCTTTTTTAGTCATATCCAAAACTGGACGTCACAAACATAGTAGAATATTCACATGAAGTAGAAATTCCTGGATGGTGTCGTGAACAAGGTTCATCATGTAGATGGACACATACTGTGAGACCTTACCAGTGCATTGGTAAGTTTACTTCTGTACTTGACACCGTATTTCTGTATTTGACATCGGATTTAATTCATTTTTTTTAGGATTTGCATAATATAAAAAATGATTTTATCTCTAAAAATTATTACCCGATCGTTTACATTATACTCTTGTTGGTCAGGGAACTAATTTTGAATTATATTTAGTTGGAGAGTTTCACTCGGAAGCACTTCAAGTACCACACGGTTGCCGATTTGGCCATATTAATGATCGTCAGTCATGCAATGATTATGCGCACTGGAAGGATGCTGCTTACAAACACTGTAAAACCAAAGTCAGTTTTTCCATTTACTAAAGTTGGTGTTATTATGTTTTTTTTTTTTCTCGTATTATTCACCTTTGCAAAAGGTTCAGTTGGTTTGTGTCCGGGAAACTTCAGAAGTTTCTAGTGTTGTTTTAAATGTCTCATGGGAATAATTTTTGCCGAATGGTTCTTAATTTTAGGTTGTCAATGATAAACGGATGGCAGTACGTTCATTTGCAGTTCTTGAACCTTGTGGGTTAGATCTTTTCACTGGGGTTGAATTTGTTTGCTGTCCAGGGGATGATAAAACTGAAGGTATCATCTACTTTTAAGAATTCTTCAAAACGTGTAACAGTAAATTCAGCTTCTTTCTATTGGTCAGCAGTGATACAACAGACTTTTTTTAATGAGATTAGGTTTAGAATTAGAGAAAAAGAAAGTGGAAGGGAAGGAAACTGAAGACGATGATGATGACTATGATGATGATGACGATGATGATGATGATGATGATGATGATGATAATGATGATGACGATGGCGATGATGGTAATGATGATGAGGACGATGATCATGATGATGAATATGCCGAAGATTCGGATGATGGTATGTAAGAATCCTAGTTTTTTCCCTCTTCAATTTATGAATAAATCGTCTGCCAATCCCTGGCTCTTGTTTGAACTTTATTTTATTTAGCTGGCGCGAAGGGTCTTTCGGCCAACAGCGTTTTGCAAGACCCGTATTTTAAGATGTCTGATCCTGTCAACGAGCATGAACGTTTCAAGGAAGCTCAGCAACGCATGGAAAAACGACATCGTGCTAGAATTAATAAGGTATAAGGTATTTCTGTGAGTTCCATGACAAAAAAAAAAAGAATTGTAAACTTATGTATGTCAAAAAAAAAAGAATGACAAAAAAAGAATTGTAAACACTAAGTAGTGATTGGTAGTACCTGCCCACAATCTGTAATTTAAATTACTTTCTTTGATATTTGACAATTCAAACTATTTAGGTTATGCGAGAATGGTCAGATCTTGAAGCACGTTACAAGAAAATGAAGAAGACGGATGAAAAGGGTGCTGAAGCATTTAAAAAGGAAATGACATCGCGATTCCAAAAGACGGTTCATTCACTTCAAGCTATTGCTAATGGAAAGAAGCTTTAGTTAAGAAGGAAATTTTTATGTGACCTGTTTTCGATTTCAGGTTGCTTCATTGGAAGAAGAGAATAAGGAACAAAAAAAGCAACTTGAAGATGTTCATGAAGAACGCGTACAAGCACATCTTAATGAGAAGAAAAGACAGGTGTGAATTTTCACTTTCATTTTCTGTTTAGCAGTCTAGGTGAAAGACACTAGCAAATTATAGCGACAGAATCAATAATTTCCATTATAGGAAATAGTATTGCTTTTCACAGTTGTGCTCCTGGCACTCTTACAAAAAAGTAGTTTTTCTGCAAAAGCCTACAAGCAAGAGATAATTTCACTTCTCCCATCTACTGATTGTTTCCAGAATAAGGGTGCATTTTCATTTCTTTTTCGGAGGAGTTAGCAACCTAAATTAGAATGGCGAGGAGCATTTGATTCTTTTAATTTTTATAATTTATAATGGGTAGTGCAAATAAGGATTTGTTTTTGTTACTGACTAACAATAGTGAAAATAATACAGAAAATTCTGTCAATTTTCAGGCAACTCATGATTATCGTGCCTCTTTGGCCATGCAAGTGGGTGCACCGAACAAACATAATGTACTCAAAACACTTAAGGTTTATTCTTATCTGTTTTGTTTTTGAATATTCATGATTAATAGGTGAACAACGCACGGTTTTAGTTTTGTAACAGCACTAGTTTAATTCGTTAAGTTGAAATTTTATATTTTTCCATTAGTCTTAAATTTCATATTGTAGACGTATATTCGCGCTGAAGAAAAAGATCGAACACATATGATTAATCGATTCCGACATTTGCTTCGTACGGATCGAGTAATTATTACTTGTAACCTTTTTTTTTCTTGTTTACTGACGGAATCGTTCATTTGCTCATAAAAAGGCATTGTAAGCAAATATACAACTCTCCAGGACGAAGCAGAAACATACGAGCCAATCCTAATTCATCAATTACGTTATATTGATCTTCGAATAAATGGTACGCTTGCAATGCTTCGAGACTTTCCCGGACTTGAGCGACAAGTTCGACCGATTGCTGGTAAATATTCAATACTTTGATCATCAAAAAATTGCGGTATATGTTCAAAAAAACTGTTTTTCTTTTCATTCTAGATGCAGTTTTATCCCATTTGATATGTTGGTCACTTATTAGGGTTATCTATGTATTTAGTAGCCAACTTTTCTATATAGTGAATTGGATTGTGCATAGATATCTCGAAAAAACTGATTAATGCATTTGCAGTTGAATTTTGGACGGATTATCGTAGAGAGAACACACCAGAGGTTGCAGGAGATGAGTATACAGTAATTGGTGGGGATGAACAGAATATCAAACTTGTGCACTATTATAAGGTGTGTACTTATATCAATGGATGTTACCGCTATAATGAGTTTTGATAATTTATGTGTGTTTGCTTGTAGTTTAGTCAGTTACCATTTCTTGAATTATTGTTATTATGTATTTTCTACTTCTTGTTTATATATGACTTTTACAGTAATTTCTAATTTTTGAATGAAATAAAATGAAAGAGGAGCTATTCATTTTATAGGAAAAGGTAGTTTTGGATAGAAATTATTGTTAATCTCTAGAACGAAACAAGAAGTAGAATTTTTTTTTCTTTTTTTTTTTCAGGATTCATACGATCGTTTACACAATCCTTCAGGTTCACGTGATACGACACTATCAATGATCACTGTTTCTGAGGTGAATTCTGATGCTTTATGTGTGATTTTGTAGGTAACATTTAATCTAATTTTGCTCTGCTCAAAATTGTTTTCGAGGAAATATTTTTAGAAAAACTAATATTTTGTTCCTTTCATTAATGTCCTTAGTTTTTCCTGTTTTGAAATGCTTTGATGTCCAGTATTTCATTTTATTCAGTTATCTTAAAAGAGATGCTTTTTCTTTGTATCTTACTAAAATAATGTATCTAAAAAAAACATATCTAAAAAACTTAGATATGTGACTTTCGTGAAAATATGTTGATTACAGTAGTAAGAGTATATATAGGAGTCGAACTTTGCAGCCAGAAAAAGTGCTGCATGATTTGGATAAGGGAGGTAACAGTTATGATGAGGAGGAAAACAATGGCGCAAGCGTTGAAGCAAAAAAACAATCATATCATAATACCAAAAAGATTGTAATAGAGAAAATTGTACAGAGGCGAACTGGCAACAAGTTCGACAAAAACAGGCCCACCGCCTATGAAACTGATGATATTGATGAGGATGATGAGGTCAGTTTCAAATCTCGGACTATTTCAAAAATTTAAAAGACTCATATGATATGTTTTCATATATTTGTAGCAAATTCACTGTAACTGTGTTGTGATAAAAAACTAGGATTAAAGTTGTTGAGGTTTTTTTTTTTATCCTGGAAAGAAATTTTTAAGTTTTAAAATCAATTTTAGGACGACATCGAAGATACTGATGAGGAGCCTTTATCGAGTAGCAAATCAGTTGAACGAGAACTTCACGTTGAAATTGAACCAATTGTGAGTGAGCCAGTCAGAGTGCACGATTTGCCGCCGAAACCATCTTATGCTAGACATGAGCCACTACAGCATTTCAAGGTTCAGCTTTTTTTTTTCCTGACTACTTTTATAACACTTCTATGCAGATTCTTGTGTATTTCAGTGGCTGTTATTCATTTTCTAGAACTTTACTTTGCCTTAAATTAGCGTTCCTACAGATGAGTGCGGAAGATGCCTCGGCAAGTATGCTCAAAACTTCAACAAATTTACTATTAATTTTCGTATCTGCTGCTACTGTTATTTTCATCGTGTTTGCAACCGTTTTAGTCCGTCAACGACCGCGGCATCGTGGCTTCATAGAGGTTCTTTTTTTTCGTGCATTTTTAGACTTTCATACAGTATGGTATAAATTACAGCTAAGTTTTATGCTTCATATGAGTTTGAAATTTCAGAGTTTAATGGAAAAATGTGCCATCGTCGTAGACTTATCCAAAAAATCGCCCAAATTTCAGGTTGATGTTTGCACTCCAGGAGAGCGACATGTTAATGGAATGCAAGTGAATGGCTATGAAAATCCTACGTATTCATTTTTTGATAACAAAGCCTAAATTTCTCGGTTTAATTTCAAGCTCAATGCAAAGATGCTTGCTGAATCACTTTTATAAGATTCCTACACAGTGACGAAGTAGGATTGTTGATGGGAGACAGATTATTTTTGTTTTCAAATTATTGGTTCATTTATGTCAATCTTAATATAATCATTATATATTTCTTTGCTTGTCAAAGTGTATTTTTGTGCTTTTGACATTAAGTTGCATCCAATGCTTCTGTACTTTATTGTTGCATCTCTGCAGTTTTCTTGAATTTCTGCAACATCTGTAATGATTTTCGTTCAGTGGAACTCGGTGAAATAGTTGATAAATTTTCAGCATAAGTTTTCATCGGGAAAATGGAAATGTATTATGTGCCATCTACAGCTGCAGATAATGGTGTTTTGCACTGATGTTCGCTCTGCAGTTCTTTCGCTGCTATCCCAATTAATGTTCAGTGGCTGCTTCATAGAATATTTTCAAAGATGAGGCGCTTGTAGGGCTGCATCCTTCGAAACATTTTAACATTTATATATGTTACTTTATCATTAATTGTTATGGCAATTTGTGACAAGCTGTTTTTTATCATCTTGATTGTCAGCATGGCACATTAATCGCTTCTCAGGTTTTAGTACTTGCAAATCTTTCTTTTTTTTTTATCTTTTCGTAAATGTTTAGCGAAGTGTAAAGGACGTTGAATATTTCATTAGGCCTTAGAAGCGACAATTTTTCTAGAAATTCGGCAGTTACTTATCGGAACCTTAAAATGTGCTTTAAAATTGTTTGCTAAATTGTGTTAATATCGCGTTAACTAGAAAACAAAAGTTTCTTGCTAATTATGGGGGTTTTCGGACTTCCAAGCTTTCTTTGAGTGTACTGTGCTATTGATTTTCTCCTTAAAGTTAATCTCCTGATGGAATATAATGAACTACAAATGTATTCTCATTCGATATCTTTAGATTTCTTGCAGTTTTATCGTTCTCTTTTCTGTGATTGTTATCCCCTTATTCTTTAATTTAAATACAGTTTACTGCATTTTTTATTTTACACACTATCATGATTTATACTTACTATTTTGGCGCAAGTTTTATTTAGTACTTGCAACTGATTGGATAAATTCTATGTTTCAATTGATTTTTAACAATATCCAAAGATTTTGAATCTGTATGGTAAATAAAAGCGGTTAAGAATCCATCAATTCTGGTTTCTCGACAGGTTTGTGGTTCAAAGCCTGCGGATAGATTAAATTCCAATAGGAGGAGGATTATGATTTCAGGGGGGAATAGTGTCCATAAATCGATAATTCAGTGGATTCTAGTTGCTGTCATGTTGCTTCACTTCACAATTCAATAGATTCATATTTGATAGGAATTAACGAATGCATTTATCTGATGGCACGAGTGAGGACAAAAATTATTTCGACGACCGAAGGAAAAGATGGCGGAAGCAGAATGATTATCACAGGTTCTTCAGTCCTTTTATGCAATCTGCAGGCACTGAAATGACCAATTTTGAACTCAGTTCGACTTATACCCCATTTGGAGTCGGATCTAAGTATTTCTCGATAGTATTAAGGGAAAGTATTGTGTTAAGGGCCTTAAAAATCCTAAGAAGCCTTCGTTTGTTATTTCCCCTTTTCATGTTTATTCTTCCTGCACACGCATACATAAATGAACCAAATAAATAAAATTCGTGTTTGAATAGCGCTGCAATTTGAATTACGATCTGGATTTAGTTTCCAAAGTTAAATCTATGACAAAAAATCTGGAAGTAATACAGTGACCTACTTTATAATCTATTTGTTTAATTCATTATGTTAACTAAGGAAAATAAGATTTTGTTTTATTAAGAAAATAGTGTATTATAAGAAGATAACTCCTTCCTCTTTTCCTATCACATCATCATCTGTGCTCTTCCCACTAACCTGTTTAACATAGTTGAGATCAGTAAACTCAGAGAAGTTAAAAGGAATATTGGATTTTTAAAATCAAGTATTAAATAATTACTGCATTCTTGCGACCCATCCTTAAGATTTCGTTTAACTTTAATTTAAAGAAAAAGTGCAAACATTTCTGGCATCTTTGTTTGTCGCTTTTCACGTTTTTCATACAGATGTCAACATGTATATCGCATTTGGTTGTACATAGTCGATGTGCCGGTATCCATTCTTTGTCATTTTCAAAAGGATCACCACCTAAAATTTGAATTTTATTATTAAAGCTGTAACTTTTCATGTTCTCCAAACATACTATCCGTGTTTAAAATTACACCATTCTCTTTGCAGATGTCACATTGATTTGCAATTTATTCCAACAATTTTCTTTTATAATTAATTATATTTTTCTTGTTTGTGTGTCTATGTGAAAGAAACTACGGCAATTGTTTCAACTATTTACGGTTTGATATTGCGCTGCGATTTGCGCATTTTAAAGAAAACATCTTTTGGGTCACACTGCTGCAGCGTAACAAAACCGCAAAATAGCAATGAAGATTGAGTTTTTTAACTTTTATACCTACAGCGTGGAAACTATAATTATCAGAAATTTAGCTTCATATTCTTATCAATTGCTCAAGAAGCAAAAGAACAAAAAAATTCCCATTTTCAATAAGTTTTGCACAGCTTATCTTTTGGCATACCAAAATATTTATAAATCTTTCATAGGATCAAAATAGAACTGAATAAAGTTGTAACAATAGATTGATAATAAAGTGACGATTTTGAATTTTGTAACTTTCAAACAATTATAATCCAAATACATTTTTGTTGATCAAAATAAAAACCACGGAGGAAAATGTGTTTACTCTTGCAGTATAGAAACTTGTATTCAGAACTCGATCATTGGAAAACATTATCACTGTGGAAAAGTGGCCAAAATGACAACCGATTGCCAGAAACGATTAAGTAGAAGGCATATTCCACAAAGAAAAAAAAAAAACACATCGGTTGCTTGATATGTAATTGTGCGCTGTTCTAAACAACTGGTTATTTTTTGATGACCTCTGCCATCTAAAGATAATGAAGTTTTCAATGCATCCCATCGATTTATTGAGCATGTTTTCTTTTTTAGATTTATGCCTTTACCGGTGTTGGAAAATAAATTGCATCAATGCAGTGGTCATCAACGAATCGTATGTAGCAGTATTTATTACTGCTGTGTAGAATGGAAGGAGAACATATTTAAAAATAACTGCCAACCTGTTATTTAGCGACTTCTAGTTGGAATTTTCAAGCAGAACTTCCTATTAAATTTGAACCAAATATTAGACTTGTAGAACAGAATGACAGCTTTACAGTAGGCTCTTAGTAAACAAACAGCTTTGAAAAATGACAAGCCTTATCATCCTCAATAAAGAGTTATGGATGAGTTTTGTCGAAGTAATTAGTAAGGACCGACCATAAAAATGACATTACTATCTTCTCTCAAAAAAGAACAGATTTTAATAAACGAGTAAATGACAAGGGCAAGAATATTTTTATAAGGTGGGAAATGCAGTGCGATCCATCGCTCTATGTGAAATGTGGAATACGATAAGACAAGAATATGTGAATTTGTAATAAGACGCGCAAGACTTAAATGATTTGTGTTATGGAAAATAAGTAACAGAAAAAAAAAATATGACGCAACACAAACTTTCACTCACCAACTGCTTTTGTATTGCTCATGTCTTACTTCACTAAGGTATCGTCAGTCATTTTGTCTTGCTTATCTAAGCTTTGTATTTTAAATCCTTCTTTTCCCAATTCTTTTCCCTCCAAAATTTGAGATTTTCTACAAACTCTTACTTATTCTCGACTTGTTGGAAACAACGGCGGTTTTCTAATATTGTCCCAAGTTTAGTATCTTACGCTTCATAAATGGAAAAATTATTGGATACTTACATTCTTTGGGGTGCGTGAATATATATTTGAAGATTTTCTTCAACTCGGATTTTTCCTCTGCTTTCATAAGCAAAACAACACATATGCTGAGAAAATACAAATATCGGAAACACATTCCTGCTGCTAAAATTTATATGCTCATTATTGCACGTTTCTCGTTTACCTAAACGACGATAAAAAAAAATATGTGAATAAATGAATTATTTTACTTTACTTGATAAAGATACAATTTTGAACTGACATTTTAATCTAAAATTTCTTATCTGGTTTGTCGGAAATTTCATAGCTGATTTACTTTCTGATTTGTCGAAATAACGGTGCAGAAGAGTAAAGAAAAAAAAAAAAAAAAATGAAGAAAAAATTAATAGAATATATCGAAATATGGATATTATTACCAGCTGAAATATAGTCGCTATCTTACTTCTACTAGAAATACATAATTTAGATCAATTTGCTAAACATCTATCAAATATCATTAGAATTCACTGTGCTTAGTGCAGCTACCTGTTAAGCGTTAAGCTATGTCACTTAGAAAGCATTCGAAAGCGTTTCGGATTAGACTCACATCAAACTTCCCCCACCCAGCATCTAGGCTGTTACTAGCTTGCATTTCACAAGCTCATGCAAGAAAAAAAAGCTTGGTTTATCAAAACTGCTTTGAAAACATCGTGCAGTTAAAATGATGTGCTATACAGAATTGCTATCGGTTTGATTGTGCTCAAACTTTCTGATCTCACAAATTGATGTTCTCTAAATCCTAATTTTAACCTATGATCTGTCACAAGTATACCTATGATCTGTCACAAGTATAATAGCTATGGTGTCCGACTACTGTATATTGCTGTATTTTAGCTATTTTATTATGTGTTTCAAGTACTAATTTCGCTTAATTTCATTTAGTGCTTTACTTAAATAAAGATTAAAATAACTACATCTTGGTAGCTTCTTTAAGTACCAAGACAACGTTGAAAGTAAAACTATTGTAGATATTTATGGAATTCAATGAAAAGTCGTTGAGACACCAGCAGTCACTTTTAACATCGATTAACACACTCTGATTCTGAAACATTCCATAGCATTATATTTTATTAAAGTGAAAAGTTCATTATGTTCGAAACCAAAGAGACGAAGAAAGATA